ACGTTTGCACTTGGTACATCCCTATTGGACTGCTGCTGCTCTCTGTTCGGGCTGTATGTCTCTCTGGTAGTCCCTGTCCCTTTTATGAGGCTGTACTTTATGGAGAGTACATGTTATTCTCTTTCAATCAAGGTCTTGTACAAATGTGTTTGATTGGCTGAATCTGGGTCACATGCCTGACCCTAACTCCAGGGAAGATTGGGGAAGTCGCTTCTGTCTTCTATTTTAATAAAAACAAGACTCATAATTCATCCAATACCTTAAACAGAGAAAATGTGTCCAAATGTCTGACATGATCACAAGTATGATAAATGTCTACTACATTTGAGAACGAATATATATATTATTAGTTGAGAACTAATATATATATATATGTTATATTAGAACATGAAAAAATTTCAGCAGAAATATGGTTTTTAAAAATAATAGACACAAAGCAATTTTGCTACATACCTAAAGTATAACAGAAACCTACAGCATTATTTTTTAATATCAGCAAGGAGTTTAAAATTATGGGTATCTATTAGTCGGCTGCTTCCCCCCATCATTCACACTGTGAACCTCTCATCTGTCAGGACGATAATTGAAAGCTGAGCCTACACTCAGCCTGGAGGTCTATGAGAAATAGCCGTGATTACTCTAGGGCTCCTGCATGGAAATTTCATGGCAATTTTACAAAATAAGGATCATACAAAAGAAATTGACTTTGCTTTTCTTGTCAATGCACTATTACATCCTTATTTTCTTACCAAAGCACCCCCTGACGAATGTCTGTCATCACGAGCCAGTGGCAGTGATGTATTTACTGGATTTTTCTATATTCATCCAAACATCTCTTATAACAAATCAGTGATTCAAAAAAAAAAAAAAAAGCCATTATCTTAGTTCTTCATCTCAGAAACACATTTCTTTTTTTTTTTTATTGCATTCCGAAGAGTGCTTTTTCCCACTAGGAAGCCATCTTTCTCTTTTTCCTTTCAGGCGTGTGTGTGTGTGTGTGTGTTTAGTATTAGGAAGAGCTATCAAAGTGGTTCATCTTTTTGCAGTTCTCTATGGAGTTTAGAGTAATGTTTCAAGAAGAAAGACCATTGATTGATAAGTATATTGACTTAGCTTTAAGATTTGAAGTTGTCAAGATTTTTTTCCAAAGATTTTCAAAGTGTTTATTCCTATTTTATCTTCTGGGATTTACACACTTTTTCTTTATTGGTGAATTTTTCTTTAGAATAATGTGCCAAACCGCACTAAGGCTTAATCAGAGTGATCACGTGTGGTTAGTAGCTGTGTTAGATGTGTATTAATGTGGAGGTAAAATGCACAGACGTGCTTTGGCGCATGTAACCTAGGGCTCCCCAAATTGATGATAAAACAGAAAGTGATCACTAATATGCCAGATAAATGTAGAAACTAAGTACTTTGCAAAACCTGAGAAAACAAAATTGTGTATTCTTTAGTTTGATCAGTTGACATTTCCTAAGTAACTTTGGTACCAACTGGAAATCAAACTACTATCTTGGTTACAATTTTGTTTTTTATGTTATCTTGATCTATAGGGCAAAAATACCATTTTCTTTAAGAATTTTAAAACTTTCAGCCTATTCATCTGTCTTATCCTATGAACTTGACTAGCAGTTTGTTTCTATGAATTCTTTGGTATATAATAATTTATATGATCATCTATTTTTATATATGGGCATGCAGTGTTTTTTCACCGAGAATGACAACAGTTAAAGACAGTGCAGAGTAAACTGCTTTTCATAAATGATCATAAAATAGTATATTTCTATTGAAATTTATAGTACATGTTGTGCATTTCTGAAGGAAAAACAAGCTTTGTATGCTGTTTGATGGGTTAAAATCTGACCACTGCTTGAGCTATACACAGAAAAGGGGTTAGATGTCATATTACAGAGGCACTTTCAGTTATCTAAAGTTCTCATTATTTCATTCTATTATCTGCAGGGGTGGAAAGTGATGACTGAAATACCTAAGTCAAATAGACTCCGCACAGTCTGATACTCCTCATTCATTCATTTATTGAAGTGTTCATGCAAAAAAATATTTAAGTCCCTGTGTGTGTCAACACTGTGCTACACTCAAGGGAAACGGTGTTGAACAAGGCAGATGCAAGCCCTGCTCTCATTGACTAGGGATGCTCTTCTTTAATTGTGGGCTGAGTTGTAGATACAACTTCTCTAATCACACCTATGAAAATGTATTTTCTAGCTTAAGAAAATCACAGGAAGAGAGCAGTGAATAGTCCTGCTTCCACTATCAAGGCTCTCTGCCTCACGCTTACCGAAAATCAGATGAGAAATACCCCAAGGTCACTTTGTGTGTTCCAGGTATTAAGATATTCCATAGTCTACGTTATAAAAATTCTGAGATGGGAAATTACAATAGCATCCTTTCAAGAACATTGAGGCTGGCTATTCTAACTCTTGATGGAATATCTTTTGCACAGTTTAGTTTAAATTACATTTGCACGTGTTAGTATACTGTCTGGGAAGAGAAAAGCAGCTTCCCATCTGTCAGGGCCATGCAGGTTATGCAGACGAGTTAACACAATTCATATTATCAAATTAAAAGTTTTTGTTCTTCTGAGTTGAGGGAATAGCATAAAGAAATTATTAATTTCTCTAACCAACTTCATCAGCCACCTATAAATGTAATTTGATTGTTTCAGCTGCATATTTTGCTTAGAACTCATCTTGCAACCGAATAATGACTTGCAATTTACTCTCCATAGCAATTAATTATATTTCAAAAACACCTTTTCACACTTTTTTTGGGAGACAGTCTCACTATGTCACCCCCTGTAGAATGCTGTTACATTACAGCTCACAGCAACCTCAAACTCTTGAGCTTAAGTGAACCTCTTGCCTCAGACTCCTGAGTAGCTGGGACTAGAGGCGCCTGTCACAACACCTGGCTATTTTTTGTTGTTGTTGTTGTTGTTGCAGTTGTCATTGTTGTGTAGCAGGCCGGGGCTGGGCTCGAACCGCCAGCCTGGCGCCCCACTCACTGAGCTACAGGTGCCGAGCCCTTTTCACATTTATTCTACTCAGTGAATAGTTGCTGCACTATTATCTGCTCTACTGATGAGAAAAAAAGAAATAAATAGGGCGCAAGCTAATCTAGTGGTTTGTGGAAAGTTCTACAGTAAAACAATGGTTGAGATGACATATCTCTTGATTCCCAGCCCATGGCTTTCCACTTTACCAGAATCTGCTTCTGGGACAGCCTTCAGGGAACTCCATTTTAGATCCACACTGTAGTGCTAAACTGAACTTGGCTCTTTAAGAGCCAAGAAGAATTCTGTGTAACTCTCTGATGCCCTTTATTCATTTCACATTTCTTTGAGGATCTAACCTGACTGCGGGTATATAAATGCCCTGATATGAAACAGAAGCATCTTAAGTAGTTAGTGTTCTGTGACCCAAAAGCTGAATTGCTAGTAAGGTATGTTCAGGAACCAAGGTGCTCACTACATCGGCTGGGATGAAAAGTCCCCTTGTTTCATCTCAGCGAGAGAACTGTCACAGCACCCACCCGCTGCTTCTCATCCGGGAAGCTTTTCTCTTTAGAAGCCATGTGAATGAGTTTACCACCAGGGGACGCAGTTTTACTATACAGTATTAGGCACCGAAAAAGGCGCGCTCCCACCTTCATCTTTTCCAAGGTCTGAACATGAAAAGTATTCGCTGCTTCAGATCCGCACACCCTCTGCGTAACTGATCCGTAGGAATGACGGTAGAGGCTTGCTTTAAAAGCTTCACGATGAAGTTAAATTTAAACCGTTAAGCTATCTGAGTTCATTAATTTATGTTTCCTCGTTGCTGGGAAGGAAAATGCGGTATTAATGGAGATAATCATGACTGATAATCCACATGAAAGTAATTTTGGCAAATTTTACTATATCTTTTTATTCAAACAAGAATGTTAAACTCTTTTTCTCCGGAGAAAGTTTAAGCCTCCGTGAAAAATAGGTTCTAGCTAAGAAACCGTTTGCTCAAATAAGGGAAATAAAAGAACACTGAAATTGTAGGAATAGAATCCTAATAGAAGCTTTATCTCTTGCTCTTAGCCTGAAGAATGAAAGCAAATCAGAGGGACCGGCGAAGTCATCTTTCTCTCCCGAGCTGGACCTATATGAAGTAAGGTACAACATATTTAAGTGTGGGGGGGGGCGGGGCTCCAAGCAAACCAACAACTGCGAAATCGGTCACCAATCACATCATCTTGGCTTTGTTTCATACAAATGAGGCAATTAAAGTAGCTCCTCTTGGAGAGGAACAGTTGAGATTTCTCAGAAAAGACATAACCTTTCTCTTGGTTAGCACGGAGGGGGAGGAAGGTGAAGATTGCCTATCAAATCTCAAGTCAGATTCTTGGGTTTTCTTTCTACCAGTGGTTACACAAGAGTGAAATACATATATGTGAATTTTCTTTTAGAGATCAGAGATCCATGGAAGGAGGATTGGCATTCACTGGGCAGAAATGTTATCTCTGTCCTCAAAGAATTAAGATGAACCATACCTTTAAAATAAAAGTAAATTGAAGAAGAACTGGCAGTGGGAGAGTAAACTAGTTATAGAAATGGGAGAACACCGTCCTGAATTGTTCCAGAACAAACACGTTTACTGCCAGGGAAGTAGACCACACTAGGTAATGTCACAATACCATAAAAGGAAGGGAATGTGCTATACCAGTTTGTTTTTCCCCAGGCCCTTTCCAGCCCTATCTGCAGGCTGTTAGAAGGCGAGTCAGGCTGGTTGAGGGGCTGTCTCCCTACCCTCCTAACTGTGCCTGTTCATCGTTGCTGTCTGGCAGGTGCCAGAGCCCTAAGCGAAGCAGCCTGGGTCAGAGGTCGCCCCCCACCAGGAGGGTGGGGTTTAGGGGTCTGGGGCGGGCTGAGCCTGACCCCGCCCAAAGAGGGGGTGGGGCGTATTGGCGGCCCCGCCCCGGTGGCCCGGGGCTGCACGTGACCGGCGGCCCCGCCTCCCGGCCGCTCCGCAGCGCCAGCTCGGCAGGCGCGGGGCGTGAGTCTGGAGTGAGACCCGCCAGGCTCCAACTCCGCAGCGCCGGAGCGCGGCGGGCAGCAACTTTCTCCCCGGAGCGGCCGTGGCGGCGGCTGCTGCCGTGGCAGCACGAGCCGGGAGGAGGAAGGCGGCGGTCGTTGCTCCCGCCGGCTCGGGCTGTCTAGCTCGCCCAGACTGCCGGCCCGCGGAGCCTAGTCTCCCCGGGAAGCCCCGGGCCCCTGCCTTATGTCCCGCAAGGCAAGCGAGAATGTGGAGTACACGCTGCGGAGCCTGAGCAGCCTCATGGGCGAGCGGCGCAGGAAGCAGCAGGAGCCGGACGCGGCGAGCGCGGCTGGGGAGCGCAGCCTGCTGGCGGCCGCCGAGTCGAGCACCAGCCTGCAGAGCGCGGGCGCGGGCGGCGGCGGCGGCGGCGTCGGGGACCTGGAGCGCGCGGCGCGGCGGCAGTTCCAGCAGGACGAGACCCCCGCCTTCGTGTACATGGTGGCAGTCTTCTCCGCACTCGGCGGTTTCCTGTTTGGCTATGACACCGGGGTGGTGTCTGGGGCCATGCTGCTGCTCAAGCGGCAGCTCAGCCTGGACGCGCTGTGGCAGGAGCTGCTCGTGTCCAGCACGGTGGGGGCGGCCGCGGTCTCGGCGCTGGCCGGCGGCGCCCTCAACGGCATTTTCGGCCGCCGAGCCGCCATCCTCCTGGCCAGTGCCCTCTTCACCGCCGGCTCCGCGGTGCTGGCCGCAGCCAACAACAAGGAGACACTGCTCGCCGGCCGCCTGGTCGTGGGGTTCGGCATCGGTGAGTTCGGGCTCCGCGAAGGTCGCCCGGGACCCGGTGTCACCGCCCTGGACTCTGGTCGTTGCCTTCCCTTTGCGCCTCCAGGGTCCCGCGTCGGGTCCTACCACGACCAGAGAATTCTTCACTCCCTGGCCCCCAGAGCCCATCCGTTTTAGTACAGCCTCAAAGGCTTCCTTGGGAGGTGGGGGTGGGGGCGTCATTGTCCCGAGCCCACGTGGAGTTTTTGGTCTCCCAGGGACCAGTCAACCTGCGGATTGTCACCTCTCAGCACTTCCAGAAACCCAGTTGATCGCCAGCTTTTCCCTTGATCCAGCCTAACCTGATGCCCTTCTTGAGTTTAGGAGGGGTTTCTCCAGCTCTGTCTCAGTCTGTGACTCCACTGCTATTATTTTTCCTTTCTTAGAGTTCCCAGCTTTGCACACATTCAGTCCTAAAGTACGAGTAAAACATTTGGTTAGAGTTAGGTAATACTCGCGTCAAACTGTTGTTTACTGCCCCTCCCCTCTTTCCTTCTCTAGTTATTTATTTGTAGATGGCATCTCTTTTTGCTTCTGTGCTGCTGTGTTGCCTCTCAACTTTTATCCATTTTCCTATATTTCTAACTTTTTCCTTTGCATTCACATTTATGCTTTCTTTTTGGTTTTACCTCTCCTGCTTTCCAGCAGGGAAGCAAATTATCAGTTAAAGGTCGTGTTCATTTCCTAAATTCATTTAGGAGCTACTCCCCCTGTGGATAAAATGCCCAGCAAGATAGAAGTTTGCAATTTACTTAAAAAATGAACGCGATAAGGTTCCCCTGTCATCGATTTTTTTCACCCGGGTTGCTGAGCAGGGGAGGTACAATTGGCAAGTTCTTGGCAGAGGAAAGCTATTTGGAATGTGTTCAGTATTATTAGAAAGCACTTTTGAGGGAAAGTGGGGGGTTGTGACTTAAATCTCACTAGTAATTTTTCTGAGATATGCCGCTGATGCTTTTTTAATGTTTCATTTCCTAATTCAGTTTTTTGTTTCCCCTAGGGTGCTGTTGAAGTATTTTCTTCCCTATGGTTGGGGCTTGATGAAAGCGCTTTAACCCTGGGGCTGCTGTCGATCTGTGTATTCACCACTTGTTTGATGTGTGTGCTTTCGCCCTTTCTCTGTGGGTTCCAAAGGGAAGCAAACGTCATTTATTCAACCCCACATGTGGGAACCAAGAGCCTAACACGCAACTCACTGTACTTTATATCCAAACTCTGTCGTTGCTAACCTTCCTTTATGCTTGTTTATTGGACTTAATTAGTGAAGCAGGGCAGAGCTCTCAGTAATATGTTGGCATAATAAAGTCCTAAGTGATCCCCCAAATCCAACTCAAATGAAAACTGTGTCTTCAACAGATAACTTGCTGTTAACAGTCACATGACCAGGATTCTTTGCTCAGCAATGTCAGCTTGGGACACCTGGACCTTTTTTCGTTTCTTTTGACAAATCACATAATTTAAGATAGCAAGATTTATTCAGCATACTTGAATCTGGTAATTTTTGAAATGGAGTAATGTTTTGTAGAGCTCTCTAGATGAAGCTTCCTAGTGTTGAGCTGTGTGGGAAGTGTTGGATAGGATTTGGGGTACTATGTTTAGTCTTTTATTGGCCATAAAAATGGAGTTCCCCGTTGTATGTTCCCCTTCTGGATGTTGGGGGTGGAAAGGTGAGGGGGGTTTGTACTCCAGTAAACACAGCGAGGTGAAACGAAGGTGGGGTTGAATTTGCTAAGAGAGGCTGTCGGAAATGACTGATGAACTCAGAGGGTTTGGTTCTCCCCAACAGAGGGAAGCCAGAAGCTTCCCATGGGAATGGTGTGTTGCACTTGGAGACTATTTTAGCAGAAGTGAGGTGAGAACCTTCTAGGAGGAGAATCCGTCAAGAAAGAAAAGCATAGGGCATGTTTGGGGGACAAGGTGAATGCAGCACAGAGGCTGAAGCAAGAGATAAGATTGGAAATGTTGATGTGCAGGAACTGGGGAGGCTTCTCTATCTCCCAGCCTCATTCCAGGTCCTCTGGGCTGGTCAGCTGAACAGAGAAGCCCAGTTTACTTGCTGGGCCTGATTCAGTCCCCATAGGGCCCTTCCCATCTCACCTCTCCCAGAAAACACACCCCTCCGAAGAGAAGCCCTGAGGTAAAGTATTAGTATTGTAAAAGCCCTCTTCATTTACAAAATGAAGAATCTTTAAGGTCCCAAACAGGCTTTGAAATGGGCTATATTCAAAACAAAACAAAAAACACTTAAAACTCAAAAAGATCACTAGCCTTCTAAAGAGAAGTCATGTGAATTTTTTTTTAGCTACAAGGAAATAGGTCTCTAACATGAGCATTTTTGAGGAACACTGAATCAGTTTGCTTGTTTAGTACACCAAATCTGGGTTAATTTCATGCTGTCTTTTCTTCAGTAAATTTCATGTGTGGTCAGGGGTTTGTTTTGTCCTTTTGTTGTTTAGTAAATGTCGATGAATAGCAAAATGTGGCTTCTGGTACCGTTTTCAGCCAAGCTTACTGTGTTTTCAGCCAGGCTTCTTTCTTCCATAAATTCATCTGTGGTAAATAATAAGGCCCATAGGAGCAGGAATTATGGTTAATTTTATTCACTGGTATATTCCTTGGCACATAGGAAACACTTTTATTTTTGTAGTTTTTGGCCGGGGCTGGGTTTGAACCCACCACCTCCGGCATAGGGGGCCAGAGCCCTACTCCTTTAAGTCACAGGCCCTGCCCAGGATACACTTTTTGAATAAAGGAATGAATATTGAGCACAAACATTTAAAAAAATTCTCTTGCTAGTAAACTACCACTTTTAAATTAGGATTATTCTTTTCAAGAAACAAAATAGTACCTTGTTAAAAATATTTGAAAGGCCATCTACAGGTTGTAGTTGTAATAGTTGAATGAATGGTTTACCTATTTAACAAATGCTATTTAAGCTTCTGTTGATTCTGTCAGATTTAGGGTGGGCTGGAACTAGATAAGGTAAACATCCCAACCTGGAGGTGTTTTTTTCTGTAATGGACCAAAAGGACACATAAACAAGAAATGACAGTGAAACTATGGTTCCTGTATGGTACCAGAGGAAAATATGAGTGGCCAACTGATTATTTTAGGGGAAATAAATTGAGCACAGAAGTAAGGTGTTAACAGAAACAGGGACACTTAAACTAGGGTTTAAACTGTGAGCAGGAGTTTAGCGTGTAGTTGGGAAAGACAGGAAAGTGCTTATTTAGTGCTTTAGTCTGGACTAGGCACAGTGTTTTGGATATAGTTCTCATTTAATCTTCCTAACTTTGTGAAAGAAGTCTCCTTAAGTGGCGAGGTCATTGATACAGAGTCAGGCTTAATAAAAACAAAACCTTGAATTTTTTGCCCTGTTACTAGGCTGGGCATTTAAGGTGGAGTTAACAGTAGGGGGCAAGGCACAGAAAAATCAAAGCGATATTTGAAGGGTAGGTGAGAGAGGGGGTGACAAGAGGTGATTATCAGCCTGGAGCATTATTTTTTGGTTGGGGAGGCTTTAAGCTGAATAGAGTTTATTTAGTTCTGCCTAGTAGGGTTAGATTTTGGAGGTTTTTAAACTATAAATGATGTATTCAGATTAAACATCTCTTGAATCTGACTTTTTTTTTTTTTCTTTTCCCCTCTATTACTACTTCTGCCTCTTGGAATTTTTTAGTGTTAGGAATCCTTTGCTGAGATAAGCTAATGCAAGGTGAGTAAAGTGTAGCATGTGGGCATGAATTACTTACATAGGAAGAGACCCAAACCATTCAAAAAGATGAAGGTGTCAAGTAGTAGAGTGTAGGTGTTAACCTGTATTAAGTGAGTTGTATAATAAAAGAAACATTAGAATTTCAGGGTATTGGTTTTTGTTTTGGTGTAAGAGTTCGGTTTCCTTGCCTTGTTGCAACAAAATTAGTTTATTGAGTGCCTGTTTAGGTTTTTGTTTCACCAGAGGCTGCATCTCTTGTTTTGCTCTTATACTCTGGCCCTGAGACCCAACTTTCTCCATTCTCTCTGCCTGCTATGGAGACATCACTTGAACTTTTTTTTTTAATTAATTAATTTTTTTTTAATTGTTGGGGATTCGTTGAGGGTACAAGAAACCAGGTTACACTGATTGCATTTGTTAGGTAAAGTTCCCAAAAGGTGTGTCACACACTGAGACTTCCATCTCGCTCCCTCCTTCCCTCTCTGTTCCCCACTTCCTCCACTGCCCACTGTGTACTAGGTCATTAATTGTCCTCATATCAAAATTGAGTACATTGGATTTATGCTTCTGCATTCTTGTGAATAATTACTTCATATTACTAAGAATAATGTGTTCCACTTTCATCCAGGTTAATACAAAAGATGTAAAGTCTTCATCTTTTTTAATGGCTGAATAGTATTCCGTGGTATACATATACCACAGCTTGTTAGTCCATCCCTGCGTTGGTGGGCATTTAGCCTGTTTCCACATTTTGGTGATTATAAATTGAGCTGCAATAAACAGTCTAGTGCAGGTATCTTGATGGTGGAAGGAGCTTTTTCCTTCTCCATAAATGCCCAGCAATGGGATTGTAGGATCAAATGGGAGGTCTAACTACAGTTCTTTAAAGATTCTCCATACTTCCTTCCAAAAAGGTTGTATTAGCTTGTAGTCCCACCAGCAGTGTAAAAGTGTTCCTTTCTCTCCACATCCATGCCAGTATCTGCAGTTTTAAGATTTTGCCATGTGGTCCATTCTCGCTGGGGTTAGATGATATCAGGGTGGTTTTGATTGGCATTTCTCTCATAATTAGGGACAGTGAACGTTTTTTCATGTTTGTTAGCCATTCGTCTGTCTTCTTTAGACAAAGTTCTATTCATGTCTCTTGCCCATTGATATATGAGATTGTTGGCTTTTTTCATGTGGATTAATTTGAGTTCTCTATAGATCCTAGTTATCAAACTTTTGTCTGATTCAAAATATGCAAGTATCCTTTCCCATTGTGTAGA